AGATACTGCAACATCCATCCATCCATCCATCCATCCATCCATCCATCCATCCATCCATCCATCCATCCATCCATCCATCCATCCATCCATCCATACATCCATACATCCATCCATCCACCCATCCATCCATCCATCCATCCATCCATCCATCCATCCATCCATACATCCATACATCCATCCATCCATCCATACATCCATCCATCCATACATCCATACATACATACATACATACATACATACATACATACATACATACATACATATTTCTCCCTTTCTCCATATAGGCTAACATTTGATCGTTCACGCTCTCCCTAGTTCCCGAGCAGAGGGTGACTGTTACGCGCCTTTAGCGAGCATGCGCGTTTCCTGTCGCTTGCGTTGTGCGGTGAATCGTGCCATCTGCGCTGTACGGAGATGCAGAGGAAACCGTATCTGATGGGGAAACGCAGCTAGACGTAACAACGGTATTTCAATCTGGAAAAGGCTATTTTGCCGCTGGAGTCCTCCTCACTCTCCATCCTCCCCTCTCTCATGACGAGGCGCGCACGAGTCCTATCATGAAAAAATGTTCATTGTGCGACCTGAGTAACGTGCAGTAACGGGGTGTCTGCAATGGTAACTGCGTTATAGTCACAGTAAGAGTAATGATTTTGATTACTCGTTACTAAAAAAAGGTACTTTCAACGCGGTTACTCCAATCACTGGTGCCCTATATAAGGATTAGGGCTAATAGTCTCCATAAGTTCTTACAATAGAACCTGAAAATTGTGGCCCACATTTATATCGAACCAAATTCAGTCAGGACTCTGTAGAACCTCCCATGGCTGCAGATCCAGCCGTACGTCGTCAGTGTTTTGTCTCCACCAGCTTTCAACATCCACAGACTTTTCCACCTCAGACATTTAAACTGATCCTCAGTTGTGTTCAGGTCTGCACTTTGACTATATGGCTCTTACCCAGGCCTGTCCAAACTCTGTCCTGCAGGACTTAGAGGTTTCCCTGCTTCAGCACAGCTGATTTCCATTGATAGCTGATTGACAGGCTTTGCTGAACTGCAATCATCAGAATCAGCTCTACTGAAGCTGAGATCAAAAACTTGTAGGACAGCTGCCTTTGAGGGCTGACTTTGGGCAGGCATTATCTAATCCATCTGTTGTATCTCTGACTTATATCAGGGGGGTTGACCTAATTTCTGGTCTCATTCTGCTGCATTCATTTTTCTACCAACGTGCTTCCCTGTTCCCGAAGAGCATTCCCTCAGCATGATGCTGCCACCACTGTGTTTCTCAGTGGAACTGTGACTTAAAGCCTTCAGATTTGGATGTTTTTATGCACAATAGCTTCATTGGTCGCTAGCAGAAGCCATCTCTGAACAATGTGCTGTGTTTGTTTGAACAGGACATGGAGGTGAGCCCCAATGAGCTGATGAACATCCTCAACAGAGTCGTTTCCAGAAGTGAGAGTCCTGATTTTAGTCCTTTTCTGCAACCATTTAAACTGCCTTCCTTTTCTACTTTGCATTAAAATATTCACCTGCTGGAGTCCAACTTTGACTTCTTGGTTTCTTGTTTCTTCTCAGACTCAGCCCTGAAGACTGATGGCTTCAGCATTGAGTGTTGCAGGAGCATGGTTGCTGTCATGGATGTATCCTTTCATAAAAAGTCAGCTGCTGTGGATGGAAAGTAGATTTGAAATCATATAGCTTGATGCATCAGTCTGCAGGATTCCCTTTCTGTGGGCCTATATCAGAGTTCGATCTTTGACCCCATTCCCTGCAGAGCGACAGCACAGGAAAACTGGGCTTCCATGAGTTTAAATACCTCTGGAACAACATCAAGAAGTGGCAGGTAGGCCTTCAGTGCTCCGACTGCTCCATCTCACGCAGGTTGCAGTTTTTAAATCTTCTTTTTTCCTGCTGTGTGTTTTGCAGAGCATCTATCTGTCCCATGACACTGATCGCTCAGGTACGATCTGCTCCAGGGAGCTGCCAAATGCCTTCAAGGAGGCAGGTAAGAAACCCGGCTTGCTCCATAGATTGAAACGATCAGAAAAGTCCAGAAGAATGTTTAACTCCAGAGATGTTTCCAGGTTTCCCTCTGAACGATCAGCTCTTCAAACTGATCATCCGCCGCTACTGTGACCAGAATGGGGACATGGACTTTGATAATTTCATTGGCTGTGTGGTGCGGCTTGACGCGATGTGCCGTAAGTCCTTTCCCACTTACTTGCTTTGATCTCCAGTGGAAGCTTGTTTATTGATTCATTCAGATTTATTTGATCCATAAAATTAATTTTAAGGAAAGATCATTTCGTCTTTTAAACCCTTTCCCACTATCCTTTAAAATGATAGCTATTTAGATATCATCTAGAAACGTAACATTAAGTTGTTTTGTTGTAGCTTCAGTGACTGAAATAGTTCCAGTAACTAAATGTAAATGAAAATAAGCATTTTAATATGATGATGATGCAAGTATTGGTGTGCTTCTCAGGAGCTTTTAAGACTCTGGATAAGGACAACAACGGCACCATCAACCTGGACATCAAGGAGGTATTAGTTTGATTCACTCTGATGTTTTTTGCATGTCAGGTCGAGACCAGGGACCAGAATAACAGCAGAACAGAGATTTCCAGCCCCATTTAAAACCCCCACCTTGTCATTTCCTCCCTTCCTGCTTGAGTGTCTGACACATGAACTTCAGCCATAATGTGTCAGTTTATTGCCAGTGAGTCTTTTGATTAACTCTGTGGATAAATAATTTTAAAATGTTAGAATCTCTCATATATCTAAGATGAATATTGATTCTTGTGTCCATGAAAACTTAGTCAAACTGTAGCAAACATGAAACGGCATGTCATCTGCATACAGATTAATTTAAGCATTTTCATCTGTAGATTGGTTTTAGTTTATTTTACATAGTTTAGGAAAATAAGCATTTTTTATGTAAAGACAAGAGAATAATGTATGAAAAATAAATGTAAAAAATGATTTATTGAGTCAGAAATGTTTCAGGCAGAGTTTAGTCTGAGTATGAGTTTGAATGTACATGGATATTGACAAAGTGTGTCTCTGTCTCACAGTGGCTTCAGCTGACGATGTACTCATAAGGCAGCGAGGGGAAAACTTCGGCTTTTACCTGGTTTTTCTCTCTGTTTTTGTTAACGGGACCAAAAGATCAGAGAGAGTTCCCACTGGGAAAAAAGAGCATCTCTGTTTCATTAATCTGTGTTTCATTTGAACGATTTACACCTGTCAGTCTGATTAATCCTGAACAATGTTTTTAAGTTTAAAGTGACCCAACTGGAAAATAAACTTTGTTTTCTTTCATTTTATTTTTTATTTTTATTTTTTTACTTTATAGTCTAACACACATTGGTGATATTGTCCAAAAGACATTGGTCTAAAGATTGGCTGTGAAATTCATTTGCATAACTGGCCCATTAAAATAGGGCCAGATAACTTGCCTTAGATCCGGTCCATGGGCCTTGAGTCTGACAAACAAGGCTGGAAGTATTCCTACCATCTGACGGCAGAAATCCAGCTTCTGAAATGTATTAGTCAAGGTTTCATTTCATAAAAGAAGAGAAAAAAGAAGCAGGACCATCTGGGTAGTCTTTCTTTTACAGTACAAATATGACTAATAAAAATAATTTGCATGAAAGTTTTAACCTAAATGGGGAAAAAGAATATTTGCTCTGATTGCATCTTTGGTAAACTGAACCTTCAACCTGAGGGAAGGAGAAGGCTTTAATGTGAAGCTCAGAATGGTTTGAGCCTTTTTCACAAACAGTTTGTTCCAAAAGTCAGGCAGGGGGCGCTGTTGAGTACCAGTCAGAAGATATATATTGGTAATGTCCAAAGTGCGGACATCAGGCTGTTAATGCAGAAAAAATAATACTAAGGAGTAATTAGAATGTAATTATCAGTCACATTATGCTTGTAATTTATTTTACTGGCAAGAAATTAACAAAGATTCCTTATACAAAAAATCAGATTTAAATGAGCTGATTTATTCAAGTTGACAAAAAAAAAAGCAGGCTGTATGAAGTGAGGCTTTCTGACTATGTTTCTTTTCTCTTTTAAATATTGTTTTATTAGTTTTTTTTTTTCAGCAAGGATGAAAATGATTTTCAATTTTAATAAAAACTTCTGCCTCACTTCATTTTTGATATTTTAGCACCCCGTGACAAAAAAGTTTGGTACGTCTGATCTATAGAATAAAACCTTTGGTCTTTAACCTATGCTCTCCTCACATCCAGGACTGTCTGCTGATATAAAACATCTTCACAACATAATCAGGATTATGTCCATCCTGTTTCAGACTAACTAGAACAATGTCATCTGCAAACCTGAGGAAGCACTCTTACAATCGGGGGGCACACCCCTCAGGATAGGACACCATTCGCCCTAACCTGTGACCAAGATGTTAAAAAATTTATTTTGCTAGGCCAGTTTCAAGATTTAAAAGCTGCAGGCCTTTGTTCACTAGTGTATGGGGTTGAATTGTAATAAACGCTAAAAACAAACCTGCAAATAGCTTGTGAAGATTCTCAATCATCAAGGTCATTGTCATTCAAAAAAAGTTAAAAGGCTTTGTTTCCAAGTTTGAAGACATTTCGCTTCCCATCCAGGAAACTTTTTCAATTCAGATGTCAGAAATAGTGTTGAGTTGCTTTATACAGTAGCCCAACAAAGCGTTTTTGCTTTGACAACATGCAAATTTAAACGGGCAAACGGGTCCATCGACCCCCATTCCTAAGGTTTGAAACCGTTCGTCTGTTTTCACCATTTGAATGTTATCCAAGCAAAAAAAACGCTACTTCTGACATTTGAATTAAAAAAGCTTCCTGGATGGGAAGCAAAACATCTTCAAACTTGGAAACAAAGTCCAGTAGTTTAACTTTTTTTGAAGTATGCAAATAAAAATTTTCTATGTGTTTTAGTTCCCTTGAAATGTGTAGGTAGATCATTTAAAAGAGCAACAACAGCATCCTGAGGTGGAAGGGGGTTGAGCTACTTCACCAACCTGCAATCAGATCTGATGTGTTCCTGTGAGAAGATGTGAACTTTGCACCAAAGATGACAGAGAACTGAAGAGGATGTGCAGGAATAATGGGACGCAATAAAACTTGGGCCTGTCCAGGTGTCCATGTTAAAGAAGGAATAATCTACCCTGGTAATCTACACTGAGATATATATTTTTTTCTGTTTAATCCTGGAATCAGTGGGATAATCAACATTAGGACATTGCAGAGGCTGTGTTTCTAAAACCAGATTATGTTGAACACAGAATCTATTCAGTGTCTTTGACAGGAAACTTGATGCAGGGAAGAACTGCTCCAGAGATACTGCATGAAACCTGATGACTTTAAAGATGGGAAGATGTTTTATTTTTATCTGCTGCAAACAGTTTATCCCCAATTTGTCTCCCTTCTTAGGAGAATAATTTTGAAAGAAAGATTCGAAACAGGTCCTAATGTTCTGGTGCTGCCAAGCGTAGTCCTGACTTGAAGATGAGATTAGGGTGATGGTAAGGAAGCCTTCCAAATTCAGAGATGTGGAGCTCATCATGCAAGAAAAGACAAACAAAAAACTGTTCTGCAGACAAATGATGGATCTGCATGCAAAAATATTTACCATAACTTAATTATCATTCTTTATTCACTACTGTGAAAAGTTGTAAGTTCCACACTTTTACTAAAATATAATATTAAAAACATGTTTGATGCTCCTTTAACATAATTTAATATGGGATTAAAAGCATCACCACTGCATCAGCTCATGGAAAACTGCTTTTTCTTCTAATATGAGTTGGTAATAATCATTACAATGCTTTCTAAACATAACCCCTGAATCGACCAAGCACTAAATACAGAGGTCAACCTTTTCCCAGGGTTGTTCACATTATAAAACCTAAATTTTAAGATCTATTTTGGGCCTCTTCCTATAATCCTTCCTGGCTCACTCTTTCTTTTCTTGGTCATTCACAATTACATCTTCCTCCTCATCCAGTGCACTAATTTCCCTCAAACTCGAAAATCATTAAGCTCCTAATTATATCTGATAATATTTTTTCTAATTTTGATTACTTTGTGCAAAACATGAGGGAAATAAAATGCTTAGTCTGAATTAATTCCCAAAAATGTATTTCTCCCTTTTTTTATTCAAGTAGATAAAACAACACTATTTATAACTTTATTGAACATATTAACAGACAGTGTTCAGAATTCACTTTATTTATGTATTCATAACTGCGAATTTTCACAAAAAAAAAATTTTCTACTAATATTGTTGGCACCCTAGTGTTTATCTATATTTTGTTTTGTTTTAGAACACACTGATAGTTTCCTAACAGATGAGCAACCAAAAACTTGGGGGGGGGGGGGCACAATGTGTTTTTTAGTCAGATCAATGGTGACAAAGTTGAACTGACCAACAGGTGGCGTCAGTGAGCTAGATGCTTTGGGATTCGTCTTCTTTAAACAACTTTACATTACATTTCCCAGACTATATTTGAATCCAATAAAAACTTATCTTATTGTAGCGACATGTTGTTGTGTTTTAATCAGAAAAGGTAATTTTACTGATTACTTTACTTACTAAAATGCTGATGCTGGTGAGGAGAGTGTGCGTTAGGAGGAGGGAGGGGCTGGAGGGAGCATGGATGCTGAGGAGGAGCAACAGGTTCGGACTGCAGCCTGCTGACAGATTCTGAGGGAAACAATCTGAACACAGGAAGATCCAGAGAAGATCTGATGAAGGTAGGAGAGCCTCTGGCTGCTGTTTTGTAAACTAGGAGATGATTGGAGAGATGAAGGCTGGTCAGGTAGGAAGAGGATGATGAAAAGGAAAGAGTTAGATTAAAAAAGAGATTATTAATAATCCTGACAGCATACTTTAAACCCTTCAATTTTCTAACAGTTTCTGGTATAAGTTTGAGTTAATACAGGATATTTTTCTCCTTTCTTTTTTCAAACAGACGAAAAAAGTCAACATACATCATCAACATACATTTTTATTTAAATTTTTCTGAGAAACCTAAACTTATGGAAGGGAGGAGCAGTTATTCAAGAGGTCTTCACCAAAAGAAAAGTTATAGTAGAAAATATTTGAACAATCATCCTGCTCTGAAAAGTGGCCCTGGAAAGCAGTGGCTGTTATTGCACTGAATGCTGGAGCGTTAGCGTTTGGTGATCAGATCAGGAGGGGATTTGTCTCCAGGACCTTCTCCAATTTATCAGAGTCTGTTTTGCATGAAGAGCTCATTAGGGATGGCTGCAAAGAAGCTGCTGAATGGTGTTGTACATGAGGAGGAAACTCCTGATTTAATTAGCTGGATCATAAAACGAAAGATGCAGAGGGTTTCATGTTTTTATATGGATGGATGGATGGATGGATGGATGGATGGATGGATGATAGGTGGATGGGGGATGGATGGATCTAGGGATGGATGATGGAGAGATGAGGGACAGAAGGATGGATGGATGGATGGATGATGGA